TGCTTCTCTGAGTAGGGTCCCGCTCTCCGCTTTTTTACCTTGATGGTCCCAGGGACCTCCGCTCCTAGATTGAAAAGTCAATCACTCCCCTCCTTGCTACAAAACATCTACCTTTACATTTCCAACCCTCACAAGAAGTCCTGATAATAATTATTCACTATTGTGTCACAAGAGACCCATTCTCATTTCATTTCATCAGCCCTGCCTAGACAGAATGGCTACTACTCAGTGGAGATTCTACCTTCCTCCACACCCTCTGGATCTAGGTTCCCTCTTGAAAGCTTATAAGCCAGTTACTTCTTGCCTTTGTAGCCCCCACCCCCCATTTTGGGTAGCCAATGTCCAAGTTGCCCATCCCTGTCCTCTCCATGTGTGGAAGGAGTGGGGATGATCCTTGCTGTAAAGATTTGTTCCCTCTTCTGAGCTACTGCATCCATAGGTGTAGGTCAAGTTCATGAAATTGTATCAGATTACTCTTTTTTTCCTCTTCTTTCTTCTTCTAGTTGAGCACTGATGATCCAGTCATTGAAGCCAGGTCAAGTGGGTATTATCTGCAAGTGTGGGTGTTCTTGTGCATATACCCTCTCTTCTTATCAGCTGGACGCTCCACTCTCCACTCTAGTCCTCTGTGGCTATGTCACTGACTTTGGGCCCAAGAGTCCCCAGGTCTTGCCACATTGCTGGCCAACCAGGTCTCCACCCGGGTTCACACGAGTCTATTGAACGTTGTAAGGCTTAGCTTGGAGCTTCATTGTTGTTTTTCCCTCACTTCCCCTTATTGGAGACGGACATGGTCACCAATCAGCACGTGTATTCCCATTAAGTCTTAGTCTTGGAAGGGGGCTTGCTCAGGGGAAGGACTCCTCTTTTGAGATACGTTTTTAAGTGCCATTGAGTTGGTTCAGACTTATAGCAACCCTGTATAAGGTTTCTGAGGAGTGGTGAGCTGGAACCGCTAACGATTAGGGTGGCAGCCCAGTGCTTACTCTACAGCATGTAACCAGGACTGGTGGTGGTTGTGGTTGTGTACCATGGAGTTACTTCTGACTCTGTATAAGGTTTCTGAGTCTATAAATCCTTATGAGAGCAGTAAACCTCATCTTTCTTCCTTGGAGCAGCTGGTAGAGTCAAACTGCTGACCTTGTGGTTAGCAGCCCAGTTTGTAATCCACTATGCTTCCAGGACTAAGAGAAATTAAATGCAAGCGAGCATACAGAGATGGGGGAAAAGAGATGCCAAGTTACATGAAATCACCCAGAAGCAGCTCAGACAAGAGCCAACAGAGAGGGAAAGCCTTCTGCTAAAATCAGCACCCTGAATTTGAACTTTCAGCTTCCTAAACTGAGAGAAAACTGGCTTCTGTTTATTAAAACTATCCATTTGTGTTATTTCTGTTATAGCAGCAGTAGCTAACTAAGATATGCCACGCCCTCATGCCTTACTCATCTCCCCTAACCCTCCCTTAACCCAGGTACAAAGGATCTTAGCCCATGGTCCTACTGCCGGATCATTTCCCTGACTGATAACTTCATGTATCAGGGTTTCCCGGGTCCTTACTAGCAAAACTGGCATTAACTAAGCACATATCACAATAGCCATGGTTTTGCAGATGAAATGATTGAACTTTTCTTGATGGCAGGAAATTGAGTCTCTAGATTTGATATGATACAACATATGCAAAATAAAATATAAACAAGGTTCATGGAAGGAAAGAGATAAATGTTTGGAGGAACAAAGAGGGAATTAATAAGCAAAAGTGTTAGTATATTTTCCTTTTAATGAGAAGAAATTGGCATTTCTTGCCCACATTAATGATTTCCCCCCTGATCTCCAACATCTGCAGATTCCCCACCCCCACCCCACCCCCATCTACAATATCTCCATGTTCCATCCCTGTCCTTGGCAAGATCGTCCATAAAGAGGTGTGGAAGCTGGATGCACATGTACACATGGGTAAGGCTCATGCCTGCGCACATGCACACACACTCCCTGGGCTCTTGAGTAGTACTTGCCAGAATCACTCATCAACCTGCTCCTGCTAGCTCAGCTTTTGGTGATAGAAAAAGGAATTATAGCAGATCACCATTTCAAGAGGCTATCCATTGGAAACATTGACACTTTCTCTTTCCACTGCCCTGAAGTTATCCTCAAAATTGGCCTGAAGATAAAGGCATTTCATGATGCACAGGAGCTTGAAGTTCAAGAGCAGAAAATGCATTTTCATCATGAAGGAGAATATCCACTGCTCTGTAAAGAAATTCCAAGTTTGCACCCTCAAATATATACAGAGCTAGGATGTTAATATGAGTTAATACCACTATTATTCAAATTTACGCACCAACCCCTAAAGCAAGTGAGGATGAAATAGAAGAATTCTACCAACTGCTTCAATATGAAATTGATCAAACATGCAATCAAGATGTACTGATCATTACTGGTGATTAGAATGCAAAGGTTGGGAGCAAAGAGGAAGGATCAGTAGTTGGAAAATATGGCCTTGGTGATAGAAATGATGTTGGAGAACACATGATAGAATTTTACAAAATCAATGATTTGTTCATTTCAAATACCTTCTTTAAACAGTGTAAGAGACAACTATACATGTGGACCTCAACAGATGGAATACACAGAAATCAAGTTGACTATATCTGTGGAAAGAGATGGTGGAAAACAAGTCAAAACAAGGCCAGGAGCAGATTGTGGAACAGACCATCAATTGCTCACATGCAAATTCAGACTGAAGCTGAAGAAAATGAAAACAAGTTCATGAGAGCCAAAATATGACCTTGAATATATCCCACCTGAATTTAGAGATCATCTGAAGAACAGATTTGATACATTAAACACTAAAAACCGAAGACCAGAAGAGTTGTGGGATGACATCAAGAACATCATACATGAAGAAAGCAAAAATTCATTAAGAAGACAAGAAAGAAGGAAAAGATCAAAATGGATGTCAGAAGAGACTCTGAAACTTGCTCTCCAGCATAGAGATGCTAAAGCAAATGGAAGAAATGAGGAGGTACAAGAGCTGACCAGAAAATTTCAAAAGTCAGCTCGAGAAGACTCAGTCAAATATTACAACAAAATGTGCAAAGATCTGGAGTCAGAAAACCAAAAAGGAAGAACGTGTTTAGCATTTCTCAAGCTGGGGGAACTGAGGAAAAAATTCAAGCCTCGACTTTTGTTATTGAAGGATTCTCTGGGTAAATTATTGAATGATGCAGAAAGAATGATCAAAAGAAGATGGAAGGGCCATGGGAGCCATGACTGATGACGAAGTCATATGGAAACATCTGCTAATTGATGGGGATGATGCTGGAGATGATCGAAGAATTAACCTGTTAAGGAAGAGTTTCATTAAATGCTGCAGCTCTGGATCCCTTTAAGAAGCGGGATACAATTAATACCAATTGTCACTACGTGAATCGTCAATGGGCAAAACCTTGCTGGTATATGATATGAATCTCAAATGTAGCATCGCTGGAGCACATGAAAAAATTGCTGAGTGCAAAAAGCAAATTCTTCAAATAAAATGAAAACGAAAAAATTTCCAAGAATACGATGCTTTAGCAAAAGTAATTCTGCATCATCTAGACAGGCACGAGACATTAAAGGAACTAGATGCTCTAAGAAAAGAATAAGAGTGTCTTTCACATATTAAAGTGTTGAAGATAAGCTGGAATTGAGACGGAAACAGTGTCATATTCTTTGTAGTACCATCTATGAACTTCAGCAAACACTGAAAAATTATGAAAAGCTCTTGGAGGTAGAAGAAGCTCAAGAAGCAAGCATGGAAACAGATTCTAAGCTAATTATCAAGAGTATTGAACTAGCTATATGATCTTATTGCTTAGAAATTTTAGTGCTTTTGATATATTTAAGATGTCTGCCATGAAATACTTTGGTTTTATAAATAATTAGTGCTCATTTTACCTGTATTTCTTCATACAAAATGAAATAACTTCAGTATATATTTATATGGCTTTATTAAAATTCTTTTTTATTCTTAACCTTAAAAATTCAGAAGCAGTCCCAAAATGATGAATAAAGTGTTCTGAAACAGGAAAAAAAAAAAAAGAGGGAGGAAGATAGAAGGAATACACAGTCACTGTACCAAAAGGAAATGGTTGATGTTCAACCGTTTCAAGCCATAGCATATGATCAAGAGCCAATAGTACTGAAGGAAGAAGTCCCAGGTACACTGAAGGAATTGGCGAAAAACAATGCACAAGGAATTGATGGAATAAAAATGGAAATCTTTCAAGAAAGTGATGCAGCACAGGAGGCATTCACTCTTCTATGCCAAGAAATTTGGAAGACAACTATCTGGCCAACTGATTGGAAAAGATCGTATTTGTGCCCATTCCCAAGAGAGATGACCCAATGGAATGTGGATATCATAAGACAATATCTTTGATATCCCATGCGAATAAAGTTTTACTAAAGGTAATACAGAAACGGCTGCAAGCATATATTTACAGAGCACTTCCAGAGGTTCCAGTCGGATTCAGAAGAGGATGGGGAATGAGGAATATCATTGCTGATATCTGATGGATCTTGGCTGAAAGCAGAGAATACCAGAAAGATGTTTACCTGTGCTTTATTGACTATGCAAAGGCTTTCGATTGTGTGGATCATGACAAGCTATGGACAACATTGAGAAGTATGAGTATTCTAGAACACTTAATTGTGCTCATGAGGAATCTGTACATGGACCAAGAGGCAATTGTTCGAACAGAACATGGGTACACCGGATGGTTTAAAATTAAGAAAGTTGTGCGACAGGGTTGTATTCTTTCACCATACTTATTCAACCTGTATGCTGAGCAAATAATCTAAGAAGTTGGGTTATATGAAGAAAAATGTGGCATCAGGATTGGAGGAAGACTCATTAACAACCTGCGATATGCAGATGATACAACCTTGCTTGCTGAAAGTGAAGAGGACTTTAAATATTTACTGATGAAGATAAAAGAGCACAGCCTTTAGTATGGATTGCATCTCAATGTAAAGAAAACAAAAATCCTCACCACTGGACCAATAAACAACATTCTTATCAATGGATTGAAGTTGTCAAGGACTTCATTCTTCTTGAATCAACCATCAAAACTTATGGAAGCAGCAGCTAAGAAATCAAATGACATATTGCATTAGGCAAATCTGCTGCACAAGACCTTTTTAAAGTGTTGAAGAGCAAAGACGTTAGCTTGAGGACTAAGGGGCACCTGATCCCAAGCCATGGTATTTTCAATAATCTCATATGCATGCGAAAGCTGGACAGTGAATAAGGAAGATTGTAGAAGAATTGATGCTTTTGAGTTACTGTGTTGGAGGAGAATATTGAAAGTGCCATGAGCTGCCCAAAGAACCAACAGATCTGAGTTGGAAGAAGTGCAGCCAGAGTGCTCCTTGGAGGCCAAGATGGCCAAACTTCGTCTCTCATACTTTGCACATTTTGTCAGGCAGGACCAGTCTCTGGAGAAAGATACCATGTTTGGTAAGGTGGAGGGCCAGAGAAAAAGAGGAAGAGCCCCAGTGAGAATGATTGTCAAAGTGGTAGCATCAATGGGCTCAAGCATGGAAACAATTGTGAGGTTGACTCAAGACTGGGCAGCATTTCGTTCTGTTTTGCATGGGGTTGCTATGAGTCAGTGCTGACTCGATGGTACATAACAACAACAGGATGTTAAAGAATGAGATGTTTCTCCAGTTGAATTCCCGTTGCTTTATGGATGAAGTAAATGAGAGTCATAGAGCTCCACACAGCCATCTGTCCCCCACTTGTCCACAGGGCTGGGTTTTCCAATTAGAGAACCAGGATTCCAGAACGGCCTACTGGTATTTAGGAAGAGTGAAAAGCAGGAGCATGTAAGGAGGGAGACAAACTGGGGGCTTCTACATACAGGGGGTTAGCCTTTGGGGCAGGGGAAGAAGAGCTGGGCTCTGCTCATAACGTAAGTACTCACTCCTTCCTCATGTTGTTGCAGTTGCTGGCACTGTTTCTGGTCAGGGGCCAATCACTGCAGGGAGGTAGACAGAACGCAGCTTTGAGGAATCTGAACTCACAGAAGTAGAAACACTTGCCTGTCTGTGGCCACTGCAAACCCACTTTTAGAAGACCATGGTACCTGAAGTCAGTGACTGATGACACCTGGCTGACTCGCAAAGTGCCTCTCTACAATGCCAACCATCTCCCTTAGTGTCTTGTTGGCTACTTCTACTTGCCCTGCCCAAGTCTCTCTCTTCCCATCGGTGACGTTCTGATCATCTGTAAATTCCTGAGACACCAAAACTGCTTTAATGTGTTGATGGAGTAGCAGTACAGCCCCATGGAGTGTAGTGGCCAGGACTTTGTTACATTTCTGTTCCAGGATCACACAAGACCAAACCTTGACAGAGCAGCTCAACGTTTACACAGGGACCCAGCCTTCTGCAGACACTTCGCAGGTAAGACTTTGCCTCAAACAATCCAAAATCTTCCTTGCCAAGAAAGCCTTCCGGATTGATCACCTATTATCCCACAGCATCATACTGTACCTATCCACCTGGAACCTTCCAGGTATCTGTGGCATGTTGTTCAGTGTTGTTGAGTCAAATTTGACCCATAGTGATCCTGTATAGGGTTTCTGAGGAGCAGCTGGTAAGCTTGAACTGCCGCCTTGCAGTTCAAACGGCTCTGCAGTCTGGTGCATTAACCCACAGCACCACACCAGTCGAATCTTATTCTGATGTGGTCCTGGTTCAATTCTCTGCTCCTCTTGTCACATTTTAAAGTGGGTAAAGTATCAAATATTCATCCACACTAAAGTATGACTATAGAGTTGCTCCTCGGCAACCCTATCCAGGGTCACTATGGGTCGGAACCAACACGATGGCACTTAACAACAACAACAACAATAGTAAAGAATTTTATTAAACCAAGGAAGTCTCTGTTTGCCTAAAAGGAACTGAAACAGTCAGGCTGGAAAGTTCTGGAATGTCTGACTAAGTCTCTTTTTCCTTTTCTCCGCCTTCTTTCTCCTTTTTCCTCCTCCATGTTTTCTCCTTCCTCATCTGCCATCTCCCTGTCTTTCTGGCACAGCAGTGAAGAAGACGCTGATCTCACTCACAATCTGGGGTATATTATATGGTCCTGGGACTCTGGGATAGTCCTGCATGTATCATGGTCAGTATCCAGCCTGGGAACCAAGAACACGCCTACAGGCCCTCTCAGGTTTCCTTTTCATAGCCCAGTGTGCCTGAAGGGTTTGCAATTCAAGCTTATGTGAAAACATATGCTTAAGAATGCTCTACAGGGGTCTTACCTCTCAGTCATCATTCTCATACCATTCCCCAGGACAGAAGACTGAAAGTGGGCCTCCTACTCATGTGGACTACTACCGAGAAGTTTCTTGAAAACCTCATATTTGATCTTACGCATAATTGCACATTGTACAATCTATTGCGTAACGTAATGTTATCACCCACACACTGCGCACACAAACAATTATAGAACTAACGTGAAAGCTCCATGGAGATCCATCATGTGTCTCCTGTGACCCCATGACCTTCCTTTGCCCAGGAAGAACTTAGAGGCCCTGGTGGAGAAACCCAAATCTGAGCCCTTCTTCTAATTCGATGCAAACACAGAAGGCATTTTCTCTAGCAAATTACACAGGGACCTTCTGGTTTACAGAAAACATACTTGTTTTCACCTTTACATCTTATAAATTTTGGCACGACCTAGAGGGACTCAACCAAGTTATTTTCAACCTTCTTTTTCAGAAAGCAGGAGTCAACTTGCTGTGGTAAGCTTCCCCTCACTCCCTGTCTTACCTCGTCTCCTCTCAGGATTGCCCCAAGCATCCTAAAGGGATCCTGCTCAGGGACAATTGGTTTGATCTGTCGTGGCCCAGTGGTCTCTCCCCATACCACTCACAGGGGAGACAACTGTGTGAGAGAGGCTGTGTGTCTGTTGTGTGTGAGTGAGAGTGTGTGCGTCTAAGGGGTGTGTGACAGTGTGAGTGTTGTATTTTGTGAGTGTGTCAGTGTGTGAATTTAAGTGTGAGACTGTGTGAGTATGCATGTATATGTGAGATTGTGTATCTGTGTGAGAGTCTGAGAGTGTGTATGTTGTATGAGATTGTGTGAGTGTGTATGTGTGACGTGTGAGTGTGTATGTATGAGCTTGTGAGTGTGTATATGTGTGGTTGTGAGTGTATGTTGTGTGATATTGTGTGTGCAAGTGTGTATGTGTGTGAGAGTGTGAGTATGTTGTGTGACACTGTGTGTGTGTGTGAGATTGTGAGTGTGTACGTGTGTGTAATTGTGCGAGTGTGTATGTGTGTGAGACTGAGTATGTATGTGTGTGAGATTGTGTGAGTGTACGTGTGAGTGTGCGAGTGTGTATGTGTGTGTGAGACTGAGTGTGTATGTGTGTGAGATTGTGTGAGTGTACGTGTGAGTGTGCGAGTGTGTATGTGAGATTGTGTGTGTGAGATTGTGTGTGTGTGAGACTGTGTGTGTGTGAGATTGTGAGTATAACTGTGTGAGAAACTGTGAGTGTGTATGAGACTGTGTGTATGTGCGTGTACTGTGTGATTGTGTGTGTATGTGTGTGAGATTGTGTGAGTGTGAGATTTTGTATGTATGTGAGATTGCGTGTGTATGCTGTGTGAGTTTGTATGTTGTGTGAAATTGTGTGTGTATGCATGTACGTGATTGTGTGTATAACTGTGGGAGAAACTGTGAGTGTGTATATGTGCGAGATTGTGTGTGTATAAGTGTGTGAGAAATTGTGAATGTGTATGTGTGAGATTGTGAGTGTGTCTGTGAGGTTGTGTAAGTGTGTGTGTGAGATTGTGAGTGTGTATGTGGGTATGAGATTGTGTGAGTGTGTTTATGTGAGTGTGTCTGAATGTAGACGGTACCAGTCCCGCAGGTACTGACATCTGTGCCAGACAGTACCCACCACAGTCTTCAGTCTCGGCAGTGAGCCATGCAGGAAGACACTAAGCAGCCCTTGTACTGCAGACCTTGCTAAAAACAAAAACAAGCAAACAAGCAGTCTCCCCACACCGTCCACTCCCTTACCAATTGCTCTCCTGCATAACCATTTAAACTGATTTGGATCAGATTTTTTTCCCCTTGAGAGATCCGACCAAGCTTCAGACCTCTTCCCAGAAAAATGGGTCGACAACTGTGCATAAAAGTGTGGGTACCACTTAGGTGCCCCCTGAAGCTTGTGTATACAAGGTGAGTCACGGGGTGAGGATCCTTTGATGGAGAGGGGCTGGTATGCCAGGGTTCCCAGATGCATTTCTCAGAACAGCAATTCCAGAAGGTCCTAAGAAGGGATCAATTAAGTTAGAGACTCTGTTTAAAGAGTTTCTTCTCCAGTAGGGCTTCTTGGAGCCTGAGGGAGGAAGGCTGTGTGCAGGTCACAGCATGCAGTGTTTCCCAACGACAAACAGCTCACAAGGAAAGCACTCCAGTCCCTCCCACCTCTCTGCCCCAGCCACCTGGAGAATCAGAGCTGAACCAGCAAAGCCAAGTGTTTCCTGCCCCATCTTGTGCAAATACCTCCTCCTCCTATTTGGTTTCTTACCCTTCGTCTCCACCTGGTGGCTCCTGGCTGCCCACATTGCATTGGACATTGCTTTCTTGGCTGGACACCTCCTTGAGCTCACCTCCCTGGAAACGGTCCAGAAAAGAGTCAGGTGTCTGGTCCCCATGGTGTAAGTGCCTGGCTGCCCATGCTTGCAGCGAGATGATGAGTCTTGATAACCTGGAAGTGCAACCGACAGACAGTGAGTGTGAAGAGTAAGGACAAGGAAACTTCTCTAGTTGTGGAGATGGGGCAGAAGCAGAGATGACCATCAGGATGTGGGTACTGGGTGTAACTCCTACTCTGCTTGGGAAACACATAGTTTCCAATTAAATCTGATTCCTGTCAACCCCATGTGTGCCAGAGTACAGTTGGGCCCCCATGGGCTTTTCAATGGTTGGTTTTTCAGTTCACTGCTAGCCCGTTCTCCTGGGGCATCTCTGGGTTATCTCCAACCTCCAAGTTAGCAGCCCAGCACCTTAACTGTTTGTAAAAGAAGAGGGAAGAGGGAGTGAAGGGTGGCTTTTTCTTTTCTCTGTCTACCACCTTCAGGACACTAAAACAACCAACTGTCACCAGCTTATAGTGACCCTGTAGGGCAGAGTAGACTGGGTTTTCAAAGCTGTGAATTTCTATGGGAGCAGACAGCCTCATAGATGGGATGAACACGCCATGAAGGATGTATGGGCAGTGAGCTATCTACTGCTGTAGAGGCACAGGATGGTTAACACTCCAAATGCTTAATCCACTGTGCCACCAGCCCCCCTCAGCACACCCAGGGATAATGTATTTACTCTGACTTCATCCGTGCAATACCTGGATTCTTCCAAAGGAATGATCCTTCAAACGGGTGAGTAGTAAATATTTCTCATCATTATCCTCTTTGCCCAATGTAATGCTCTTTATTATTACTGATAAGCATAGTAATAGTGAAGAGCTACTGTTTTCAGATGATGATAAAATCTAGAGCAAGATTGAAGGAAACAGCTTAGATTCTTTTACCTGTCTTTATTAATAACGTTTCATACAAACTCTAGTTTCCTTCCCAGATTTGTGTAGAAGTTTCTCCGCAACTTCCCTCTCTGGAGTAGACCCCATGGGGGTTTGTCATGGGCTCAAGTACCTCAGACCAGGCAGTCCTAGTCCTAGAGCTTGTCTCAGCTCAAGCTTTCTCACAAGAAACCTTCCCTCACCCTTTTACTTCTGCCTCCCCATCTCTGCCAGAGAGAGACCCACTTCTGTTTCTCTTATTTTGGTTTCCCTGATTTGGGGCCTACTGACAGTGGACCTAGTTAGAAGCAGCATGGAGCCAAGTCATGTGGGTTGCTCCCTTTCCTCTACCTGTGGACCTTTCACTTACCATGCTGGATGGGAGCTACCTTCCCCAGTAAAGCTTACAATAAAGAAAAGGCCACATTTATCCAAAAAGCCAGGATTTGTTTGAGATAACACTGAACTGAGGAGCTCCTGCAAGGGGATCACTGACAGCGACTTTCCTCATACCTGGTTTGAGTTCCTCAAACTCTTGTCACCTTAGTTTGAGCAGATAAATCAAAGCAAGAAAACATCCTGTGCACAGTGACGTGTGTAGCTGCTGCTGTAGACGTATTTTTAGGTGCCTGCCCAGCCCAATAGTCCCTGGGTGACACAAACAATTTATGCTTGACCCCTAAGGTTGGTGACTTGAACCTATCCTGAGGTACCACACAAGATTGGTCTAACAATCTGCTTCTGTTAATGTTGCAGCCAAGAAAAGACTGTGGAGCACTTTTACTATGTAACACTTGAGGTCATCATGAGGTGGATACAGATACTACTTATGGCATCTAACTACAACAACCCAACAGTATTCCCCACACCCACACCCTCCATCTGCTGAAAGGATGCAACAAGTTCATACTCCTGCCTCTAGTCTCAGCCAACAGGGACCAGATGGTCAGCTGACCTACAGAAAGACAGTTCATTGGCTGGCCAGGAGCCATACAGGTTCTCACTTGGTCACTCAGATTCTGAACTAAGAGCTACTTCAAGATGGGAGCAGCTGTCTCAACTCAAAGACTATATGATGAAGGCCATTTTCAGTCTATGTTTGCAGATGTGTCAGCAGAGAAACACAGAGAAAAATAGGAGACATGCAGGAAAAAAGCCCAAAGACCATGAAACACTACCAAAAAGTGAGATAGAGAAGGCAGCTGCCTCAGCCACTGGTTCCTTGTATCTTTAGCTTACACCACCTCCATGACCCGCTCCCCACCCCCCTCCCATTCTCTTCCTTGCAACCAAACAATGTCAAGAAAGCATTTTATTAGTAAAACAAAAATACAGGAAACCATCCCAATGCCCAGTCTTGTGGTGGTGGTGGTTATGTGTCGTGGAGTCGGTTCCGACTCATAGCGACCCTGTACAGGGTTTCCGAGGCTGCAAATCTTTACGGGAGCAGAAAGCCTCATCTTTCTCCCATGGGACAACTGGTAGTTTCGAACTGCTGACCTTGCAGTTCACAGCTCAATTTGTAACTACTATGCTACCAGAGCTCCTAATGCCCAGTCTTAGAAGAGTTCAATGAGGATATGTTCTGTATCCAATACGGTGTAAAAACAAAGGATAAATAAATACTATGTTTGGTAATACTCTTAAGTAAAAAGTAAAAAAAAAAAAAAAAAGCATAACACACAATTATGCAAAAATTAAAAAATCTAAATCCACTGCCATCAAGTCCTTCCAAGGTCATAACAACCCTACAGGACAGAGAACTGGTTCCTATGGTTTCTGAGGCTGTAAATCTTTATGGAAGCAGACTGCCTTACCTTTCTCCCTCTAAATAGCTGATGGGTTCGAACCACTGACCTTTCAGTTAGCAGCCCAACATTGTGCCACCAGAGCCCCTTCAATACTGGTGATGGTTATATGTCGTGGAGTCAGTTCTGACTCATAGCGACCCTGCATAAGGTTTCTGAGGCTCTAAATCTTTATGGGCGCAGAAAGCCTCATCTTCTTCCACGGAACCCAAATGCTAACCTTGAGATTAGCAACCTGACCCGTAAGCACTATGCTACCAGAGCTCCTTCTAAAAGATTGGTGGAAAGAAACAATGAGCCTCCATCACCAAGCATCCATAACTTGTCATTGCTTGCCCTGATGCAGCCCTCAGCAGCCTGAGGGGTAGGTACTATTCCATGGGTTTTCTAGATGACCTCCATAAAATGGTGCAGCTGTTGAAGCAGGGATACCGATGTCTTCGGAAGGGACATAGAGCTCACAAACTAGGTTCATCTCTCAGATGCCTTTGCAAGGGAGCAAGTGGGTTGTGGAGTCTGGATGTGTACCTGTTTCAGACACCCCCTCTCAGAATGTCTGCCATCTACCTAATGGTTTCCCACAGCTGCCTCTGGTCTGAATTCTTCCTGAATTAAGCAAGTGCCTCAAAGATCATTTTCTATAAAAAACAATTTAAGAGAAAGGTGTTTTTTGTTGTTATTTTTCTTGTCTTTTTTTTTTTAGGCTGTTCAGAGCTCAGAACACCTGATCCCAGAGGAACTGGCTCACTGATAGATTTCTGACTGCTCTTCTCCCACCTCTTTCTTTAACCGTATCCCCACCCACTACTTCTTCCTAAGACATACCTGTCTTCTTTCTGCCACATATCCCTTACCCAATGTGAGGGCTGAGACTGGTCTGTTACCTGGCGGGTCTCTGGCTGGTGAAGGAACTTCTCTGGGATTCAGCCAGTCCTCCTCTGGCCTCCATGGCGATCCCTTGCTGCAGTTCTGACGATGTCTCTTCACATGGTGAGAGGGTCCTAGGAAATCACATATGCAGCGAGCAAAATTGATGTCAAGCTCATCTACCTCTTGGACACAGTTGGGAATGAGATGGCCAGATGCTCTGCTTAATGAGGAAAGTAGCTGTCAGTGACCCCCACTGCAGGAGCTCCTCATTTTAGTTCAGTCTTAAGCAAATCCTGGATTTTTAGATAAATGTGGCCTTTTCGTTATAGTAAGCTTTACTGGGGAAGGTAGCTCTCACTCAGCATGGTAAGTGAAAGGTCCACGGGTAGGGGGCGGGGAGAAACCCAGCAGCAAATGTGGCATGGTCCTCATTAGAGGATGGGGGAAGAGATGTGCTCTTGGTGCCTGCCATCTCTAAACATAACAGCTGCTTTCACAGAATGAGGATTCTTGTTCAAACACATCCTAGCTTCCTGAGATCCTATCTTCTATGCCAGCTCAGAGTTCCTAGGTAGTACAAATGGGTAAGCACTTGACTGTTAACTAAAAGGTTGGCAATTCCAGTCCACCCAGACATGCCTCAAAAGGAAGGCCCATCAATATAGTTCTTCTGAAAAACCAACCATTGAAAACCCTATGAGGCACAGTGTTGCTCTAACATACATGATTTGGATTGACAAGAAACCTTCCCAGACTCCTTTGGGCCAGCTGCCGTCACACTGGCTGCTCAGTTATTAGTGTTTGTCAGTCTTCCTGGGGACCATTTGGTGGCCCAGAATATTGTTAGGAATTGGTCTTGTCCTCCATACATATTTCGAACTGTTCGTATTTTCAAATGAAAATCTACATCCACTGTACCCTTTACCTAAATCCTAGTCTCTGTTCCCTGCAACACAGAGGTAACTCAGGCAGTGAGCTCAACCTGTGTATGCAATTCAGGGTATAAAGCGTGGGTACAGATGGAATCTGCCCTATAGTTCTATGTTTTGCAGAACAATACTCTACAGTTTAGAATATGGGTCCCCATCACATCAGCAGAGCCTGGTCTTAGCTGAATTGCCTGGGAATATGTTCCTTTCTTTTAAATCCTCCTAGGGCTGAAGTTTTATCAGCCTGATTAAAAGCCATCCATGCATTGGCCTTCAGGGATTTGCGTTTCATTCTCTGAGTCTTGAGGCGCCAAGGCAAGACAAATTAATTCTATCATGTGACCGATTCCAATCTAATCAGCCTTCTTAACAAGGTGGTAACACAGTTTAAGCAGGAGGCAAGAATTAATGTCAGGAAAAGGCTCTGTCTCTCTATGATGAATGATATAAAGTCAGTTCTGAATCCTAGGGCATGGAGAAATGTCAAAAATCAGCTGGTTCCGCAATGAGATGCTGCTTCCTCCTTTCTATAACATCCTTGGCAAAGCCAAGTGTCCAGCCTGTGGTCACAGCCCACCCCTTTCATGGTTTACCCAGGCCATCTTTGGAGAGCCCCAACTGCCAGGGGTCTCTTCCCTCAGCTTCCCCTCATTGAGGCTACTTGTTTCTGTTGGAACCACATGGAGTCAGGCAACACCATCTTCAACATGACAGTGACTTCATGACATCCTACAAACCTCTGCTGCCTCTGGCTTTCCAGCCCAGAAACCCCACCTTGCTTAGCCATTCCTCATTGTGTTCAAGTCTCTATCTTTTCTAACCATTCTGTGGGCCGGTTCCCATATTCCTGTATGACTGGGCAGGGCGATTGAAATCCACTCTAAAGGGTTTGTGTGTTTATGGTTGTCCCATCACCAGCTTCCATCAGCCCAAACCCAAAGTCCTAAAGCACAAGCCAGACATTCTTATTTTGTACATGTGCAATTGATTCTTTAGGACTAAGTACGGGGCTGTTCCATTAGTTCTAGTAACCTGATGATTTGGGGCTCTTGATTTGTGAAAGTATCATAGTAGCTTTTGCTCCCAACTCCTTTTTATTCATGATGGCAAAACATCAACCACACCATTTATTGATTGCTTACTGTGGGTAAGCCAGATACATTTTATTATTTAATTCATACAAGCCAATAAAGGAGGAAACAGAAGTCCAGAGAAGTTAAGTAATTTCCCCAGTATCACACAGCCAAGTGGCAAAGTTGAGATTCCAACATCACCCCGTCTCATTTCAAAGTCTTTGTTCTCAATCACTCCATGAAGCTGCCTTCTGTATTCCCGTATATGACAGATTAAAGCAAACACTGGACATGACATGACCGAGGTCCAAACCCTGTGGTATGACACTAGAGACATCTCTTCAGCATGGTTTGGATCCCTCTGGCTGCACTAAGTAGGCCTGGCTCTTTATTTCCAAAATACCAAATTCAATTTACTCCGTCAGAGACCACTCACATCTCATCCTTATGCACATAAAGATCCTGTCAGAGGTTCGTCTGTAGCTCAGAGACCAAGATTGCCCTGTCCCCATAATCTTAGATACCACTGAGGTGGGGCCCTCATTACCAGATATGTTGGTAAGTCACAGGAGGCGGCGGCAGGGGAACAGTTGAATCCACCTCCCCAGTGTCTGGGTCCTAGCAGCCTTGTGTCAGGAAGGTCTCCGTGACAGCCCCAGAGAAGGAGGTCTCCGTGACAGCATTAGTGCCTTCTTGGGGAGCTTCAGATACCAGTTAGTCAGCACAGCATTTTTGCCTGGGTTGATTTCTGTGAATTTCTTGAGGGCACACCCAAGACCATATTTATCTGCATTTACAGCAAACAAATCAATATCCATGATATCTGAGTGAGTGGACCAGGAAGGCAAAACCCACCTGGATTCTAAAAGCAGGCTTGCTAGTGGCAGCAATGCAACCTACCAGGTATCTCTGACACTCACTCACAGGGGAAGCAGCAGTGTGAGGTAGTGACCTGGGTTCAAATCCTCCCTCCAGCACCCATTTGACACAAAGTCAAACTTTGTGTTGAACCCCATCTGGGCTTCAGTTTCCTGATTCTCACAAGAGAAAGAGAGAGAGAAAGAGGGAAAAAGAACGAGAGAAAGAAAAAGGATGATTTCATGCTGATTTAAATATTGTCCAAATACCCAATTCTAGAAAAACAATATTTGGCTGTGAAGAATAAGGAGAGCCTTAGATGACATAATTCTAAGACACCCAAGAGGATCTTTTATTTTTAATGAACTTGCTTCTTAATTCCTGAAATTCTATCATGACAATGTTTAGCTCAAGACACCTTACCTTGCTATATTCCTAAAGGTTTTTTTTAAACTCATCTTTCCCGTCCCCAAAGCTCTAGTCTTTGGTCTAGATGGAGTTGCCTATTCTAGAAAGTTCATCTAAGTGGGATCATACACAATATGTCCTGTTGTGTATGACTTCACATGCTTTCAAGGTTCATCCATATGGTGGCATGTATCAAAACTTTATCTCTTTTTATAGTTGACTACTACTCCATTGTATGTATATTCCACATAGGTTTATCCATTAACCTGTTCATGGGAACCTGGGTTATTTTCACGTTGGGACTATTGTGAATAGTGCTGCATTGAATATTGATGTAAACACCTGGAAGCGTTTTTTATTTTTGTTTTTAATGACTTTTTACTGTGGTTTGAGTGAAAGTTTACAAAGCAAAATAATATTCCATTCAACAATTTATATGCATCTTGTTTCATTACATTAATTACAGTCCCCACAATGTAACAGTATTCTTCACACTTCCACCCTGTGTTTCCCATTTCCATTCACCCTTCTTTCCCGTCCCTTGATGCCTTCTAAGTTTTATTTTTGGGCAAACATTGTCCCTTTAGTTTCATATGGTTGATTATTCTGAGGAGTGTGTTCCTCCCTGACATTACTCTTTGTCTTATAGGCCTGTGTATTGTTTGGTTGAAAGTTGATTCCCAGGGGTGTGTTCAGTTCCAAGTCTGAAGGGTGTCCAAGGGTCATAGTCTTGGTGGGTCCCACCAACCTCTTTCAGGTCAGTAAGTCTGGTTGTTCTATGATTTTGAATTTTGTTCCACACTTTTCTTCTACTCTCTCTGTGATCTTCTGTTGTGATTCGGATCAGAACCATTGCTAGAGCTAGCCAGGCACTATCTTTAGTTCTTTTGGTCTCAGGATAGCAGAGACTGAGGTTCCCATGGTCCATTAGTCCTTAGGACTAATTGCTTCCCTGTGCTTTGGATTTTCTTCAGTCTTCTTTGCTCATGTTGGGAGACACCAATAGTTGCATCTTAGATACCTGCTCACAAGCCAGTAAGACTACCTGGCGGTACTTTAAATAGTAAACTCAATAGCAAACTCAAAACTCTCCAGAGTAACGAAATTTTCCAAGCAGATGGAAAGTGAGATGTGAAGATTAGGAGGAACTGAACGTCTGAGATGACATTGAGAGCACTCAAGGAGAAGCAAGTACTGAAGAAAAGGAGAAACTCTTTCCAATCAATGCAAGAATGAAAAGGGAAAGATAAGGAGGCAGGAGAAAGTGGGGGCCAGGCCCTGTCCTGTCTCCAGCTGACTGAGGAGCCTGAGCATGGACCTGTCTGAGCCTTGTTGTTAGTTATCACTGACGTGCTCTGATTCATGCTGCTCTTATGCATAGCAGAACAACATTGTCCAGTTCCTGTACCATCTTCACAAGCACCTTCCAGTCTAGGGGACTATAGTGGGCAATATTCTGTTGAGAATCTATAGGATATTCATTGGCTGATTTTTGGAAGTAGGTCTCCATTTAGGCCTTTCTTTTGGAAGTTCCACCTAAACCTGTCCACCACGGGTGACGGTCCTGGTATTTGAAATACTGGTGGCATAGCTTCCACAGTGCCCTGGTAGCACAGTAGGCTACATGTTGGGATGTTAACCACAAGGTCAGCAGCTCAAATCCACCAGGCACTCCATGGGAGAAAGATAAGGTTTTCTGTTCCCGTACAGATTTATAGGCTTGAAAACTCTATACAGCCTATAAATGAGTTGGACTGACTTGATGGCATGCAGCGGCAGCAGTAGCTTCCAGGCTCATAGCAACCTGAAAGCCGCTCAGTAAGATGAACTGACAGACAGATGGTAGTATCTGGGCTTTAGTCT